TGCAGAGATAGAAAAAGAACTCTGAAAGGGGGGAGCTATAGAGCTGCTTAATGAATGGGCATGAAACTTGCGAAACGAGGCACCTGAAAACTGGGTACGTTGAAAGAATCATGAAGCTGCTCTAAGCGTGCATCTAAAATGCCTGGAGTTTCATATATATTCAAGGATCCAGGATCAATGCCAAACTTCTTTTTGAATGCAATACAAAATGTATCAACCCGAAGAAGACGAAGTTGATGAAGAGAAGGCATCAGAAGTAAGGTTTGATTGATCCTGATGGTTTCTTTCAAGGTCAAACAATGGCGTTAACCTTCTTTCTACCTCGCTGCATTGTAGATCGATCTCCTGGACAACCATCGAGTAAGCAGAGTAACAAGAATCATCGTCCCTGAATGCTAATGTCCATCTCCCATCTACTAAACCTTTGGCCTTGAGCTTCTCATAGACTCCTCGCTTTGTTGGATCCAAGAACGGTAAAGTAGATGGTCGGATTCTCAAGTGTAGCCATCTTGGGTGCTTTTCATCTATTCGGGGCTGAAAAACAAACAAAAGATAGATCATTTCTCTACGCCAATATCATGATTATCTCTGTCCTTGTGTGTGATATTTACAAGCATTTTCGTTAAGAAGAGGACAATGAAGGTGAGTACGTACGTTGCAGCCAGCTAAAGGTGCGGTAACACGGACGATTCCGAAATCTGGCTTCGAAGGTGATTCTTCAGCAAGGACAATCCACCCAGACACACCAGATGATAATGCTAGAAACGAGAAAGTGCGCTCCTTGCCTCTTTCAAAGGCAATCCTACAGGAGACAGCATCAACTGCACCAGGAAATTTCAAAGATCAGATTAACTATGGATAGACAAATCAATCAAGCTGAAATTATAATAAAGACATTAGAGTCGATCATGGACATGGTGCACATTTGCTAGATGTTGTACTACGGCAAGCATAAGAGCATCATGTGCTAACCTAGCTTCAATTCGGTGCCAGGTTTGGGGACTGAAACATTCAGACCAGCAATTGTGGCACGAGAAGTTCCAGATCTGTCGGCAGGAGAATGAATTGGTGGCTGCTCTGGCAAGGGTCTACCGAGCGAGAAGATTTGGAGTTGATGAAGAAGCACAAAAACCTGAGTAAAGGCTCGATTATCAGATGTCTGTAGCACATACATCAACAATAAGAATCTTCCCTAGAAATATAAAAGGGAACACAAAGGACGAACCTTCACCACCTCGCACAATTTTTCACCTGCTGTGAATGATGATTCGCTAACAGCGTTATCTGTACAAGATTCAGTTGTTAATGGTTTGCATAAACAGAATTTAAACAAGGAAATATACATATCATTCACATTTATTATAAGCTAGCCGCGCAAGATGTAAAACAGAAATTCTACCATTAGAAGAGGATCTATCCAGCTGGAGAAGAACAGATTTAGGCTCCTTTTGAGGGCATGGAGCTTCGATCACTGTCAGAAGAGATTTGGTATTAGATTCGTTGATATATTCTTACAATCAAAATCCAACATATCCAACATTTTGCTTCTTTACTTGCCTCTTTTGCACTTCTTCCACTCATCAAGCAGTACTGTTATGAGTAGATCAGGCCAGGTACCTTTAATCTCCCGGATAAGTGCACTTGTACACTTCTCATACGAAACCTACGATCAGCAGGAACCTGGTTAATAGTGAGGAGAGGGGAGAGAGAAACAGTGTCGAACCAAACAAAAAGAAAGTTCTTCAAAGCAACATACATTCAGCATCTTCAGATGTTTACGGTTAAATTCTGCCTCGCTATAAGGAAGCAATTGGCGTAGGAGCCAACCTCCATCCCATAATGTTTCCGCAGACATGTTTTCTCGGCACAGGAGACTGACCAATGCATCCACCACCTACACCACATTTGTTATTAATAAAACAAGACAAGAACTTTTGCATTGTGATGAAAAAAATACTAGCTTTAGCAGGTGGAATTTCGGAAGAAGCTAGGCTAATAACATAGGTTTATAAAGATTCATAATTTACCTGATGTCTATGTACACGGGGGCACATTGCAGCCCCAGGCAATGAACAGCATACTCCAAACTGCTCCTGTTAAAGGTACATGAGCGAATAAGTCAAATCACAGAATAACACAACACCAAAACGATGGAGGGAGGAGAAGGTGTTGAAAAAGTTTGAGAGATCCAATGAAGTACCTCCAACCTCTTTAGATACCAATCAAGTTCGCTACTTAAGCCATCTCTCATAGAACCATTCTGCGGTGAAAACAGTTGTTCTTCACCAGAGTCCTCCCCAACCAAAGATTGCTGTCAGCGATAACTACCAATTAAGTTTTGAAAAAGAAAAAAAGGGCTGTCTAAGAAGTAAAGCCTTTTTTTGTCAATTTCTACGGTAGATGATCCAGTAAAAAGGTATTATTAACAGGATTCATGCAGATGCGATTTGCCCTGGCATAAGTTACATGATAATTGCAGAAACTCACCAGCAAAAGTTTTTTGTGCTGCTTACGCTGCGGAAGAATGCCAAAAGCATCTAGCATCGACTCTTCAAGTTCTACCAAAAAGAGAATGTAAGACGTCAAAACCAGAAAGAAAAAAAGCGAACAGAAACCTGCACAACACCACTGCCAATACCTTTCGTCTGCAACAAAGTGGCTAGCACAAACAAGGAACCCTGAGCTTGCACATCATCTCCCTCAGAAATATACTGAAGTAATGTCTCCCTATATACAAAAAAAAATAAGACATAAGCTTAATAGAAAAAAGGAAATGTTCAAGCAGCATCATATGCGGCTTTGTGAAAAGCAACTATCTCAACTTCGCTCCAGCTTTTTATAGATAACATGTTACCTAAAAGTACTATGCGAATTGTTGAAGATAGTTTTGGTAGTATCTTCACTGCAAGCGTGGGAATTTCCATCCTCACCAGAGACTGCGGTGCTTGGGCACTGTCGATCTGCCTCCTCAGTAACACCATTGTCCGGATGCCCATTTCCACACGTAAGGTGTTCAGGAGCCAAGCTACTTTTAGGTTTCACTAGGGAATTTGATACGAAAGCTTTTACAGGGCAGAAAAGGGTAGCAGCAGTCATATTTGCCAAATCTTTGATTTTAACTATCCGCAGGATGCAACAAAGCAGATAGAGAGAAGTGACAGGATCGACTGATATACCCTGAAATAACCGCACAACCAATATTTTACTGGATATTAGAAATGGTACTCTTGCAAATAGTAAAAGCTAACAAGGAAATAATAAATCAACACTGAAAAGGAATTAAGAGGAAAAGGTGTTATTTTGTACATTTACAGCCTCGGAGCATAAAGACGGGAGAAGAAGTGGGAGAGTTAGATGCTGCAGAATGTGATCTGTTATCAGCCTCCCGATATCTGGTATGCCAGCAGATATAACATCACTAAAATAGTACAAGGTGTCCTCGATCCCATCAACGGCAGCAAACAGTTTTCCACCCGAGTCTAGGGATGGGCTCCTTAAGCAAGGATAAAATTAAAATCTTTTAGAAGAACATAATTTACCCAGATCACACACAAACAAAACAATTAAATAGATGAAAAGGGGTTTGTGATAAGTAATGGTCACTTTTACAAATATTACCCTGGGAAATGAAAATGCACTGAAATCTTACTTGAGAGTGTTCAACACCATTGCGCTTAGATCCATGCATTGCTTTTCAAAAAATGAAACTAATTTTGAAAAGTACTCGGTGTGCGGTGGACTAACTACAAAATCATTCACAGATTCATCGCCAACTGC